GGTGACGTTAACTCCGAAATGATTAGAATATTTTATTAAGCACAGATCACACCTTGTTGTTAAAAGCATTTAGAATGTTAGAAGCATTTGTTAAATGCGTAGTAGAACTCATGGTCACTTAAAAGATTTCTGAGGCTGCAATCTTTACCAGAACAAGTCACCAAGTCTTTTAGGGTAACTGATATAACCATACAGCTTTTTGGTTAGAAGTTAAATGTTGAAGACTAGCCAAAACATTGTGCTACTAGGACACCTTTGATAACTCTTAGTTCTTGGCCATTCTTAGAAACTATATTACCATTATCATAGATAGCAAAGCATAGGAGTTAAGTATGGGCATTTAGCCTGACAAACTGAATCAAAGGTTTACTACTTACTAGTTGTATAAACTTAGATAAGTTAGATTCTTCATTTTCTGCCTTTACTCAATGAATTAGAGGTAGTAGCATTATGTCACAGAGGTGTTCAGAGACTACATGGACATGAAAAATTACCTGATTTTGGTGAATGTTCATGAACTGTTAACTATTATTTAAAATAGCTGATGGTGGGTCTTTTGATAATGTTATAAACAAACTCTTTTTCATTTACACACTTTAGTCCTTCTGGAGAAGTAGAGTAGAAAAGATTTGGATCATTTATTCTCTGGATGTCCCTTGCTCCCCTTTTTTCTTTGTACTGTGTCCATTACATTTGGTACAGTTAACTGCAAGCACCTTGCCTATAAAGCCAAAATACTCTGTAATCAGCTCTGCTATACCAATTTCATGAGTATTCAGCTCCTCAGCCCGGAATACTAATTGTGTAAAAAGTGCAATGAATTCTAATTCATTTTTATTGGAAAGATCTGAACCAAACACAAAACCCAGTTGATCCAAGATGATTTCAGCTTTACAATTTGTGCATTACGTGATCTGCACACCCACAACAATAGTGCCTTTGAATTTAACATACTTCCCTTCTCAGATAACAGAATTCTTTTAATTAAAAACATTTTTAAAATTTTCAGTATGTGTAATTGTTAACACCTGCTATGTGTTACCAACAGATGTTTCTTACTTACCTAAGGGAACTGGTATAATTATTCTATAAGCTTACTGAAATGGCATTTACCAAGATAGTTGAAAAACTTTAGTTGGTGACTTTGCATGCAATATTTGTTGTTTAACTCTTTTATACTTACAACTGTTAACCCTTTGCACTCTCTCCAATGCTATCTACTAAAAGCCAAAATGCCTTTCTCTGAATATTCAAATTTTTAATCATTTTGAAAAGGGACTGAAATGAATGTCATGTATGAAGAAACATTTTACTCACTTTTAAGTGTTTGAACAGCTAATTCTCACAGTGTTCAACATGAAAAAACCCCTACTGTAGAGTTTGACTCATGACTCTCTATTGGTTCCCTGAGGCTGTTAATCTTTATTGGAGGAGACTCCCCATCTTTCTTCCTTGAAGTAGCTGGAGGATTTGAATCATTGACCCTTCAGTTAGCAGCCCAACTTGTACATGCCACAACTACAGAGCTTGTTAATATGCAACATACAGTTGTTATGTGTCCTTAAGGCAGAACCTTCTCATCACTGACCCCCTAGTGGCTTTTCAAGGCACTAAATCACTGGAGATCTTTCATTTGAAGTGCAGTTAGTAGGTTCAAACCTTGTGCCTTTGGGATGGCAATACAACTCCTTACTACAAAGCCATGAGTGCTCCCTTAATGTTCAATATAACTGTCTTGTGCCTTGAATATAAGTGCAAAGTTACACCTTGTAGCAAGCTAATATCTTTCTAGTAACTTAGTTTCAAAGAATGCCATCGTAAAATAGCTTCCCCCCTCCTACCCTGTGTATAGTGTCATATGCAGTAAACTTCCTGAAATCTCCATTTATGAAACTAATCACACAGTTACCTACAGGCACATGTTCAAGATGACACTGGTTTAAGCCAAATAATGGACCAATTGCAAACAATGAATATAAAGAGGCAGCTCCATTTATAACTGCTATTTCAAAAGAGCTCTATTGTAATCATGGTGATCTCCGGGTGACTCATTAATTAATTGATGTTCTTTTTTATTATGTGCTATTGAGTTAATGAGTAATTTGTGTGAGATAATTCTCTGAACACATTGATTACTTGAGATATTTTTCTGGAGCTTTCATGCAAACGACAGGCTGAAGAGGTAGAAGACAGTATTCAATTCTGTAAGCTCATTATTAGCAAGTTGGAGATGAGTGTGAGCCCAATGAACAGACACTTTCACATTATCTAAGGTATACAGAGCTGTGTCTACCCAAAGGAAGTTGAGTGGTCAGGGCAAGACCAATCACATAGTACTCAGTAATGTTAACTGAAATAATACCTATACTAAACCCTCATTGTTACCTACAAGTGCATAAATCACATTTTAAAATATCTGTAATGGTGTTTTTAAGAAAAAAATAAGAAGAAGAAAGCTTCTGCTAAGATTGTATTCAGTGTTAATGTTCTATTACCATAAATATGCAGATTGGTTTTGCAACTTACTGGCATGCACACTAAACATGTTTGGCCTATATCATCTCTGTGAAATTGTTTAAGTGAATATTCAGAGTGGTTTGCCTAAAGTGAGAGTTAAAAGGAAACCACTTGTGTGTGTTATATTCCACTTACAGATATAATCTTTTGGACCCAGTTTCAGTTAAGCCACATATCTCTTTTCTGAAAATGTACGGTTTAGTGGATTTTTGTTTTGGTTTGTTTTAATTCATTAAACAGATAATAGGAAATCTGAAATTTTGCGTGACAATAGCAGCACAGCTGCTTTCAGAAAGATCACTTAAAATGTCTATAAATGTACAAAATTACACCCAGCAATTGTTACCTTCCTTTTTGACATTTCCCCCTCTTTCAGAAAAGCAAATAGCAGTAAACTACCTAGAGCTCAGAAATCCTAAATATAACATTTGGAGAAAGCATTTGAGGTACTTTGTCTACACTTGCAATGATTTACACTTAGAAAGTAAATGTTCCTACACGTTTTATCCTTTTTCATGAACTTAATGTATGCTGTCTAGATAGCATCTTATATTCTGCCAATTAAGTGCAATGAAACAGTGTAATACCCCTTTTATTAAAAACATAAATCCAAATATAAAAAATGAATGAAAGAATCCAGCAGATATTTATTAAGCAAGATGAAAGTGATATTACAAACACAGGTCAGCTTTTAAACTCAGCCAGCACTCTGGTGGAACGGAGGGGCCAGGTCCTTCATCACAGGCAGTCTGCATGAGATGTATGTTAGGTGAGGAGCTCTCGCTGCTTGAGAATTCAAAGCCCCATGGAGGTACCCTATTCGAGGAATCAGATAACAAGCCAAGTGACCTCAGGGCTACACAACACAATAAGGGAAGTTGACAACAACTGGGGACTTTGAGTAGTCAAGACAATACTTCAGGTCAAAAATGCTATTTTTTGGAAATTAGCTGTAAAATGATCTACAGCTAAAAAACTCTTTCTCTCTTGTTTCACAATTTCATGGAGATTAAAGATAATCTAAGGAGATTAAGGCTGTGATCTTTAATCCAGGTGAGTAATTTTGTTGGTAGTAAAAAGCATAAGTATTCATTTCTCAAGGATTATGCTAAGTGAAACGCAGTGTTTAGTCTTTGGGTGGCAAAGATAGTTAAACAGGTTCAAGAAGTTGAAAGAATTTTGATCTGATTTACAAGTATTTTGATATATTAATAAACATATACAAAACACCTAAAGTCTGAAAAACCATTTGAAAGAGATACTTTACATCCACATAAATTTCAAAGAAATTGTTAGTGGGGTCTAGTAGGGTTGCAACAGTTTGGAAAATCATTTCCTCTTCCTTATCCCCTTGTTTGTTGTTTGCTTTGAAATGCAAATCCTTCCAGGAAACCATTGTAAGGCTACAAGGCTAAAATAATAAGTCTTTTGGAAACTATTCCATCAGTATACTTGAAATTTGGGGAACATGTCACTCGAACACTCTTAACCATGAAACATTTGTAAAATTACATATCATACACTTTCCACAGAACCATTTTCTTAAGAATGAAGGCAATATCCGGATTCACATGCATCATATTCATGATAAAGCTTTGTTTAAAAGCAAATCCACACCAGCATTATTTTCAGCTTAATACATTGGCCCCAAACCAAGAATTAAGGTTTAACGAACTTTACCTGTAATGTATATATTGGCAGGACAAAATATGTATGCAAGTAACACTGAGAAATATTGTTTCCATGAAAAACAAAATGCCACAGCACTAAATTTGTTTTGGTAAAAACATGCTTTACTGTGTCTGTGTGGGATCAGATTTCTGGAAAGCAGTTTTAATCACAGGGGCAGAAACAAAGTGTCTGCAACCAAAAAGAGAAGTTAGAATTTTACTTTCATTTCCTTAATTTTAATATAAGTACTCATTCTCCATAATTTCTGATTCTAGAAAGCTTTCTTTTTTATCAGCTATCATGTAGGTGAGGGAGTAATATTTCACCTTTAAAACATAAAATGACAGATTTCAGCCTAAGTGAGATGTATTCTGAGTGGGTAATTACTTAAAGGAAGCAATGAGAGAATAAGATACATCAAACTTTTAAAGTGTTCACTTTTTGAACATTACAATAAATGGCAAGAAAAATCAGAAAAAAAATGCATAACTAGTTTCCAGCTTTTTATCAATTCCTTTGTTTCTTTTCTAGAAGATTCCACGGGTATTATGTTGCTCTGACCAAACATAATCTCACTGCTCAAATAGGATGACAACTTCCTGGTCCATTAACATGGTCTCAACAGATTCACACTCAAATCTTTTTAGTATCATAAACTTAGTAAGCCATAAAGTTACTAAACCTTGAGCCCTGTGGAGAGACTCGTGGGCAAAATTTGTATAAGAAATTTTTCATGGTTTTCTTTTCCTAACACTTATGTCATAATTGTTAAAAGTAACCCTTTGGAAAAAATTTTACATGATACCCAAAGGCACTAGTTCACATAAGGGGTGGATGACTGTAAAATGAAAACAAAGCCATTATATAAAGAACACAGGGTGGGTGGGTAGGGGAAGCATATTAAAAAGATAACTGTTAAGCATTAAAGTTATTTTAAAAATGGCACTTTTCATGTTGTTATAAAATGAAAGTGCTTTGAGATGAAATTTTTAAGCATTTTTTTTAAAGCTGATCTTTAACTCCCTGAAAATAGGGAATTGTAATGAAAACACTGATAGACTTTATATTGTAGTGATACTAAGTTGTGGATGTTGGTAAAATGCTTTGTATGTGTGTGTCTTCATTTTTCTAGTATTTTTCAATGCTGATTGACTTGCCTTTATCTATATGTGTATCATCATGTGAGATTTGCTCTTCAGTTCTTTACTAGAAAGTCACAGCTCATTTAAAATAGCTGGTAGATACAGAAAGCATAAATATACAGTAAGTTTAAACACTGATTGTACTAAATGCAACAATACAAAGAAGCAAACAGAACACAAATGGTAACACAATAAAACTGTATTACATTTGTGCTTCAAATATTACAATACATTATATACAATAGTCCAAAATAAACATCTCATGCCAAGTGACACAAAAACAAGTAGCAAGCAAAAAAAATCCAGCAATATGTACATTACTTTTTTTTCTTTTATAATAAACATTCAACTCTGAACTGGGGCAATTTAACTACATACAGATGCAGTCCGCCTTTTATTCCATATAACCATCCCGTTTTCCTATATCTACGCTATTCAGTAGGTTCCTGTGTCAATTCTTATATACATGTGGAGCAAAAAAGATAAAAGAATGTAGTGCTTTGTATTCTTAATGGGGTGATGTTGATAGATCAGCGAACCTGGGGTGCATAACCTTCTTTCATTAAACCTTCTTCGTAGTCTGTCTGGCAAAGGATCATATTATTCTTTAGGAAAAATTTGTCTCCAACACAAAATCTGAAAATGTTAAAAAAATAAATAAATGTGTTAAGGCCATTTCAATCACATGTACAGATTTAAAGATTTATTTTCCAAATAATAAATTAACATGCATTTGAAAGCCCAGAGGTTGCTTTGAAAAATGAAACTATTAGTTCATTCAATGAAAGACTATATACAAAACTTTAAAGCTCTTCTTCTTATAAAAAAGTCTTAAGAACATTGAAGAGAAATAAACTGAGATTATAGATTATATGTGTAGAATAGAAATATATATATACAGTAAATTAAAAAATGGTGATAATATATCATTGCAACGATTCAAAGAGATTTAAAAATAAAACAATTAGAAAATAGTATAGTACATTTCAATACTTCCCATTTAAAGCTTTCTTTTAGTATCTGTTAAAACATGATTAAATTATATTAATTTGAATGCGAGTACTCTGAAGTGTGCCTTGCTTCATCATCAGAGAGTGCCACTGGGCTATATATCTCTTTTGTGGTAAGTTCACAAACTATGGAATAATAGTCCATGCCATTTCTTACAGCCTTTTCAATTCAACCTAAGAGAGTAACCTTAATATTGATGTGATAAATAAAGCTCATTCCTAGTACTTAATTATGCATTTTCTTTTATGAAGTGTTTAATGCATAGAATTGTAATTTTTTTTAGTAATTGCTCTAGTTTGTACATATTTTTTCATGGTAAAAATTTGGACACAATTAAGGTCAGAAATAAATGCTTATGTCGTTTCCATTTAACAATAAAGTAACTGGAGGGAGATTTGTATATATATTTAATTGTAACCATTTAAGTTTCAAACAGTGCTGTTTGGTAGAGCTGACCCAGTAAAACCACTTGTAATTATCCAAGTTGACCTCCTAGACCTTTGATAGTGGTCTACCTTTATCAGATAGTCAATTTTGAATAATGTTCAAGCAGAAATCTTGGTGGATAGATTAAACTGTGTGGTGAAAGCTACCCTCTGGTGTTTTGTGAAGCTGTAGGTTTAAGTGAGGAGCAGTTGGACTGATTTACATTTGTAAAGACTGGAATGCTAGACAGTGAACCTATTTATTTTCCAACTGGGTAGCTCTAGAAATTTATCCTTATACTAGCTAAGTAGATAGAGGGGGGAAATAATGCAATAAAAAAAAGTATATTGAAAAGAATTAGTTTTCCTCTTAAAAGAAAATTGGTCTGTTTATTTGTGGTATTTACTTTTTTTTTTCCAGGATTACTGCCTGCTGATGATGTTGATTGAAAGTGCAGATTTTGAAATCCTGGAGCTTTTGTGGTCAAGGCTACTGGATACAATAAAAGAAATTTGGTGCCTTAAGCATATACTCTTTTATTAGTTGCAAACTACACACCTTAAATATTGCCCTTAAAAATGGTGTTTGAACAAACCAATCTTTGCAGCTTTATCCTGATCACAAACATATGTTGAATTAAAGAAGTAGTTTGGCTGTTGGACAGAAGCAGCCAAATCAGAAACTCAACTCTCCCATGTAGACTGTATAACACACAGAATGTAGAAATGTCTGATTACTACTCAAAACTATTAACCAATACTACCCCATTGAAATGAATCTGAATTGTTGTTGTTAAGTGTCGCTGTCGTAGGTGACTTGTGACTCTATAAACAAAAGACCTGGGCACTTGTATAACTTTCATCCTTTCTCCAAGTTCATAGGGTTTCCGGAGGTAAGCTATTTCGGAAGTGGATGCCAGTCCTGCTTCCAAGTTGTTTTAATCGGGGAGCTCCGCCAAACACTGTCCACCATGGGTAACTATTCTCACATTTGACACATCAGTGTCACAATATTCAGCTTCACAGCAACCATGAGTTACCTCTGTACAGCAAGTGGACATACCAGGGCTATACGACCTAGAAGAACGTATTGACTAAGAAGCAAATAATATCACATAGAAAAGGAATACAATAGAACACTGTGTTGCAGCTGAATAATTTTCCCAAAAAAAACTCTCATGTCAAATTATTAGACCTACGGAAATGTAGATAGGTTATTGTGTGGTGGGTTTTTTTTTGTTTTTTGTTTTTTTTAATTTTGTTTTGGTTTTGGGTTTTTATTTATATAGAAATTAGAAAGTCAAAGTAATCATAATAGGGAAAATACCAAACCAAGAATCTGGTGTTAAAGTACTGAGTCCTGCTTCTATCTATTTTCTAGCCAGTGGAAGACATAGGTTACATTTAACACCTTTATTCACCTCACCTCTATGGATTTAAGACAAAAACAGCTATATCATTGAATTATGAAAATGAAACAAATCACAAAAAACCCAACCAACTGCTGTCTAGTCAATTCTGACTCACGACAACTCCACATGTATCAAAACAGAAATACTTTTCAAAGGCTTTTAATGGCTATTTCAGACCTAGATCAGTAACTCTTTTTATCAAAGGACCTCTAGGTGGAATCATATCTCTGACCTTTTCATTAACAGGTTAGGACACTAAAGATTTGCATCATTCAGGCACTTAATAGATTGTATCATTACTACTGTGGTTAGATGCCATTGAGACAATTCTGATTCAGGGACCCTCCATTTATAATAGATGGAAACTTGACATATTTCAATGAGGATGTTTTTCACTAACTCAAACATGTCCTTCTCCTGGGGTTGGTCTCTCTGATAACATAGCCTAGCAATGGATTGTAGGAACGTTTAAATGAAAAAGCTCATGAAAGCAGAGAGGTACATTGCATTGAATAATAAAATTCCAGTCCTACATTTATGACATTGAAGATGAAACTTCAGTTTTTAAAATTTATAATATCAGCCACTTTAGCATAAGGAATAGAAATCAATTACATAAAACCATACCTCAGTGCTTGGGACTCAGGTATGGCTTTATATAATTAAAGTGTCAAATTTTATATAGTACTTTGCATGCTCAAAAGGATCACAGTGGTACAATTTGTGTTGGACTACTAATCAAAGGTTTGGTGATTGTAATTTATGCAGCAGGACCACAGGGTGCCCTGACACCATAGTCCATAGAGAGGGAATAGTGTTACAACCCAAGGATTTTGTCTCTTCGGTGGAGAAAGATGGGAAATCTTCTTCTGTGTAATTTACAGCCTTGGAAACCCAATAGAGGGTTGGTTCTGATCTGATGGCCATGAGAGAGACAGAGAAACAGAGAGTGCTACAGAAAATAAAAAAGCACCCTTATAATTTCTTTCAATGAAGATTCAAAGAAACTCAAACTTAACAGCCATTGAGTCAGTTCTAACTCAAAGTCACCTTTTGGGGCTTCAAAGTTGTATATGACAATGGAAGCCCAGAAAATCCATGCAGCAGCGTATTCTGTAACACATCACATTGAACATGTCAGAAGCAACTAGAAGGTAACCAACGGCAAAATCATGGGCTAATGGTATTGTGTCTGTATGATCATATTTAGTCTTTATAACTTACCTAGAGAGTAGCTATTATGATTACCCTTGTCGGATTAAACACATTAAACTTCTATCCAGAGTTTAAGAAATCTGTCCAAGTTTCTATAGCTAGAATATATGTTGTGGTACTAGTGTTGTTGATTGCCATTGGTAATGAGTAAAAGCATAGTTGACCACACAGCAGGTTTTCAGAGGCTATAAATCACAAAGCAGGAAACTGTCCATCTTTCTCCCGTGAAGTGGCTGCTGGATTTGAACCATCTGCCTTTGTGTTAGCAGCATGATTCCTTACCTGCTAGGTAACCAGTGTTCCCTAGAATGGACAAAGGGTAGGAAAGCAATCAAGGTGTCTCTGTATTCAATAACCAAGGCAGTGAACCATATCTTTCTTTCAGGGATGCTGGTAGATTAAAATGACCGATTTTTTACTTAATAGCTCAATCCATAAGGCACTGTGCCACCAAGAAAGTACAAATATAGCATAAGGAATGAAGAATCACACAGCTTTATTTTCAATTTTTAGGATTTTTCTTTTTTATAACTTGCAAAAATTTTGCCTACTACTTAATGAGATGTTAGTAATATATGGGGGATTTATTTGAAACATTTCCATCTCAGAAATTTTATTATTAAATGTTGTCAAATAAGTTTATGCTCCATTCACACCTAACAGTCAAGAGGAAAAATAACATGCTGCACTTGAACATGAGTTTCAAGGAAACACCTGGGAAAGCTATAGCCAAGGAAATCTGACCATGAGGTTAGGATCAGCATTCTCTTTTAAAATGTTCTCTGTATGGATTTTAAGAATAAGAAAAGCAAAAGTGGACATATTAAACACTTAACAAAATAATCTTCAATGGTGATTTTGTTTTTTTACAAAAAGCTCACTTACAATATTGAATAATCAGCTCCTTCTTGTTAGATTTGGTGTTTATACAAAAATAATATTACAAAAGCAGTGATGGCTAGAGGTAATGATAATAATATTAACAAATGAGGCTAAAAAAAACTCTGAAAAGAAGCCAATAATCTTATTTGTAATCTAATTCTAATTGCTTATGTTCTGGTCAGTTCAATTAGTATTACTTTCATTTAAAATCACACACACACACACACACACACACTGAGGAATGAAAAAGATGCCCACTCAGATGATTAAGCTATCTCAACTTGACATTTTGGAATTAATAGTAGATTCAATTTCAAGATATTTCAGAGTGGTTTTAGCTGGATTCATATGGTTTTAGAGGCTTGATAAGTAGAGAAAATAAGTATAATTAATAAGTCATTCTTACATGATAAAATACAGGGCTTATAGTCATTTTAAGCAGGTTATCAAAAGCCTATGCTAAAAAAGACTCAATTTATAACATCCTTTTTAAGAAATGAAAATGTTAACTTAGTCACCTTATTTCCTTAAGGTTAGTGACTGTCATTTATAATTAATTTCCAACCATACACACTTTTAAAAAAGGGGATATCCAATATGTATTTCCAACATCAGTACTTTCTTATTGAGCACCCTCACTTACTCAAAATGAAGATTTTTATAGTGTATTTTTATTAAGAGATATAGATTA